TTTGTCTAGACCAACTGACTGTGCCAGGTTCTGGTGCACATTGATACCCTATCTCCATTTAATAGTTCAAATATGTTGCCCTTGGGCCAAAAATGAAGCCTTTATTGTAGCTGTTATTAAAAGCAATTGAATTGCAAAATTAGCCTAGCTAAGGCTTTTATACGCATATGCTGGAAGTCTCTTAATGATCAAATCTTTATTATGTATGCCAATTCCCTTTACAGCAATTCGGCGGGGCAGGTGTTGAAAAAGATATCAGTTGATATGTTGACTAATATTTCAGCTAAATTGTTTTTGATGATGAATCATTAAGGCCTTTAAAGTATGATTGCTAAGATCCTAGGCAGGTATTTGGAATAAAAATGTATAACTTATGTAAATTACGATGGCTCAGCGTCTGTGCGCCCAGATATAGATTTAAAGTTAGGCTCCTTGAATTTCTATCAATTTTCAATAGAACTATTAAGTTTATAACAAATAACATAATTTATTTAATGAATTTGTAAATGTTCTCATATTTAGAGTACCTTAACTTGCCGTAGAAGCTTTAGGATTTTATAAAATAGGATAAGGTTTAGGTTTAGCTTCAGCTGTTCCTTATCCAACTATTTCGATTTAAGGTTCCGTTCAAGGATCAAACCTGTTTACAGCCATACGAATATTAACATGGCTTACTTTTAAATAACATCTGACCTTTATTCAACTTTCATTCGCCCTTTTTCTCAAATGAACACTGCGGAGTATGTTTTAGTCAAGCATGCCTCATTTTTTTTTGTTATAATATTGTTCAAAACACTTTGTAGATACACAAGCACCCACTCACAGATACATTCGCACACACTCATACACACACTCACACGCACTCACACTCGCTGCCAACGAGCTGTCATAAAAATTGAGAAATGTGACTGCGATGAGTGTGCACCATTTGGATGTTGTTTTACTTGCTTTTTGTTGTTTCGTGTCGCTTTCTATATACACTCTTGTTGTCTACCATGTGTGTGTGTGTGTGTGTGCATGTGTGAGTGAGTGTGCTTACCTGTGCACGCCATTTGCCTTTTTAATTGTTTAGGTCAGAATTAACAATGGGGACTTGCCGAGTACAATTTTGTTTTTCTTTGTATGTGATGCAATGTTCGAGCACCCTCCAAAAACGGTTAGCCTGAAAAATTGTCTGTCATTGACTATGTCAGCTGGCAACAGGTTTTTGTTGCCGTTGTTGTTGTTGTTGTTGGTGTGCACACAGTTCGACTTAAATGGTTGATAGAAGTGAATGCACTGTGACACTTTAGTTGAGCACTAGTCAGTCTAGGCCTTCTCCAGGGTTCACTGATTTCGAGCATCTCACATCCTTTGTCTGCTGACAACTCAGATGTTTCCATGATTTTGCATTTATCCGCCCGACATTTTGCACCTGAGCATGGTCTGAATTTAAATTCTATCTCAAAATCGAATCTAGCGCATCCTTGGATTATGGCCGTGCCATGCCTTCTATTCGTCTTACCTTGGGGGCATCTTTGTTTCGGCTTTGTTGCTTCAAATTGGCTGCCTGACTGCCTGGCTGATAATATAAATATCATTGCTGCTTGCACATAATTAAGCAGGAGAGTAAATGGAGCTGCCGGTTGCTGCTAAGCCTAACGAGACCCCGTAGAAAACTTGCTGCCAATGGCTCTACTGGCATTAATTCTATTTGTATGCGTAGCTGTCTGTGTGCGCCTGTATGTGTGTGTTTGGATTTTGGCTTAATGCGCCAGTCTGTTGACTTTCAGCTCTGTCGCTAATTAAGCCTGTTTATTGGCGTTAGTTTGGTGCTCAACTTTCTCAGTAGACATCATCGGGGCAGGTTTTATCAGGCAACTCATGTGTGTTGGCATTAGGCGGCACTCTCTCTCTCTCTCTCTCTCTATATATATATATATATATATATGTATATATATGCCCAGCTCGCGTCTGTTGTAACAAGCTAGTACCCTTCTTATGCGTATCGAGATGCCAATTCCCATTTCGATTGCCATACCCACTTCATATGCCCCTACTTCTTCTACTCGGAGTGCAATAATAAAGCGATTCTCCCAAATGCCACAAAGCCTTCAAGTTCTAGTCTAATTGAGTAAATTGTCCAGGGAAATGAAACTGGCATAGCACATGAGTCTGTGGAATTGTCATTGAAACACAAACAGACACACACATAAACAGACGCACATCTAAGTGCCTCGTTTGGTTGTGTGCGTGTGCTTTGCTGTCGTCTGTTTTGTGGTCGATGCGCAAAATCTCAAACAGCTCGCAAACAAAGCAAAAAATGCAATTTGAAAACTCGCACATACACGTACACACGTACAGGCACACACACGCACACATACTTCGAAGGACTCAATTGTTTGTGGTTTGCGTGGCCAGTGACATTCTATTAGCAGATAAAACTAATTACATGAAAATCTATTGCGAATGACAACGACCACATTGCGCAATTTGCCAGCACAGCCCGAAAGTAGGCAACACTTTCTGTCTGCTCGTATAATAGTTAAGTTTGTGGTTCTGTTTTTCCCGGCAACTTTAACTTTTGCCTGCTGCCATATTTAGTGGCCCCTGCAAATGAAAACATTTAAATATGCATCACACATGACCACGCACACACACACAAGACATTTTATCCCACAGGGGTCACCTGGCAATTGGGCGAATAAACCAAATGATTTATCATGTTGATGCATATTCCCAACTGCTGTTGCAGTTGCCATTAAACTATGGCACAGGCACTTCTGCATGCTGACAGTTTTGAAACCTGTTCGGCTTAACCTTTGACCAGCCTGGCTGTCCACGTGTCTCGTGTGTGTGCAGTTTACATACCCTGTACGAAATAGTATGTGGATTAAAGCTATGCCAAAAACAAAGGGCAGCAAGAATAATTCGATAAGTATATTTTCTCTTATTGGATTGCACATTATAATAGATTCAAGTGTATGTTAATTTAACGGAAAAGAAACTTGCAGAGTGACTTCTAGTCATGCATTTGCTAGAATATATTTACTGAATTGATTTATTTTTTATGCATATGTATGAATTTCTTTCCTTTTAATTTTAGTTATTCGGAATGAATTGGTTTGCAAAAATCAAACAATTAAGTCAAGGTCCTTTTTAGTTATTTGGGCTTTTATACCCTGTTCCAATAATATAAATGACAAATTTCTCTCAAGAGGCAGTTTCTACGAACAAATAATCGAACAGTTTATGCCGGCATACTGGGTATCTATTCTTTGGAATTTATAATTTCAGCTTGTTTTTAAATAACATTTTCCTAGGAAAAGCCTGCAGTGAACGGAAAATGGTAAAATTTTTTGATACTGTTTTTAATTTGTGGAAAACGTAAAATGTTTCTCAGATTGATTTTAAACGGTATTCAAAGTATGCCTGAGTTTATAAACGAATTAAAAAGTGTGACAAGTGGGGAAGGAAAAATGTGCACACAAAAGCACGGTCAACTATTTCCGGTTCACTCGGCATTTCACTGGCATTTTATTGTTGTTCATCCTGTTTTTGTTGTTGTTGTTGTTGTTGCTGCCATTGGGGCTCGTTGTCAAGTTAAAACCGAGCTTACAATAGTAAATGGCAACGGTGCGTATGATTCTTGCTTTTGATTTACCTGTGGGATAAAGTGAGATGTTGTTGTGGGCAAAGCGGGTGGCTTAGAACTTAGTACAAATAGAGACACAAATAAATTGCACGTTAGACATGTTCGAAGGCACTCGGCAATATCATTGCGTAGCATAGTTTTTCACCCGAGCAGCCACGCATTACCATGGCAATTAAGTAGAGCTGTCCGAGTACGACAGCCCCCAAATCCCAGCCTGTAGATATCCGTTTTATGAGCACTGTATATATATATATATATCTATACAGTGAGAACTCTCCTAACGAACACCCCTCTTTGGCGGACATTTCCTCTTAAATCAGGCCCTCAATATTTGCCTTCTATTGGGCGCACACCCCTCTTGAGCGACCGTCCAAGCGAGTTTTCACTGTACATGTTTTTGTCAATGGGTCCAATAACTGCTGTGCAAACATTTTCGTTTCTTTTGCGACTTCTCCGCTACTGCAAACATTTTCTAAGAGCACACAAGTGTAGTTTTCATAAATTTGTGGCGAAATGGGAGCTCTGCCGAGTCCAGCATGCTTTATTGTTTCTCTGAAATGGCAATTAGAGTTATGTCTGGGAAAAAGTTACCAGAATTTGGGTTGGATTCATTTCCGCCTAATATAGATCTGGCAATTTACGATTAGTTGCCCGAATTCAGAACAAAGGAATTGAAGCAGACAAAAATGGTTTAAAAAGTGGACAGAAACAGGAGAAAATTTGTCATCTTATTCAGTATCGGTTAGTTAGCTGTTTTATGGTTGCCTGTTTATTGTCCTCTGCATCTGCTGAATTTATTCAAAATGAGAATATTATAAATATGCTCACTTAAGCAGAATAACTTTACCTGACTACACACTTCTTTCGAAGAAATTAATAAATTCTTTCTAGAAATAATAGATTTTTGGTTAGGAAATATCTGGTATTTTTTCCAGCTAAATCAGGACGGAAAAGGTTGGACCTGTCCGGAGAAATGCTAAATGGGCAATCATGGCTTCCTTCCGCTTTGCCTTTAGCTTTCGGCAGAGTGCATAATTATTGTTTATGGAAAATGAGAAAAGCTTAAAATACAGTAATTTGCACTGTTCACTCGATGTGCAACAAGTTATGTCTGCTTGTTACTTATCTGGACGCCGGATAGGGGGAAGGGGCGCTTTATTTGGGCGCCGGCTGCTCGGCGCTGTTTGTTGTTTTCCGTCGAGCACTGATAAGTGAACCTGTTGTCATAGAGCTGCTGCTGCCGCTGTTGCTGCTAATTAGACTAATTGGCGCTTGGTGCATGACAAGCCACTGACGCACAGGTGAAAGGAAATTCTTGTAATTGCCAAGCTCAATGGCTTGGCTATAAAAGCGGTCGCTTGGGACGCCTACAACAATATTCGTAGCGAGAAGCTCAGTGATTATGTTGCAACTGAGGCATTTGACGCTATTTTGCGGACTGCTCGCTGCTATTATTAGTTTTCCGGATCAGGTCCAGGCTGATGAGCACAACAGGTTGCCCTCCCTAGGCGGCGGCAAAGTCTCCACCACGTGTGAACCTGACTTACCTGGAGACAATTTTGGAGAGAATCCTGATGAGAAACCTGGAGGCAATCCTGATGAAAACGGTGACGATGGTGATCGCGATGGAGATCCTTTGTGTAGCAGCTTCCAGGCGCTGCGTGCGACCATCGAAAAGGATACTCTGGCGGATCTTATACAGTCACACTATCAGTGCAATTCCAAGTTTCGCAAAGCCTTGTGCTACTACAATACAACACGTTTCCATTTGGTTGCCCTGGAGCTGCAGCAAAGCGAAGCCTACAACACAATGCTGGAAGAACTGCGCAATGCTAGTGTAGACACTAGCGATATTGAGAATATTGTGGACATTTTTGCCTGCTTGGTGTTGCCGGCACCGCAGCCCGACAAGAGCTGCGATTGCAAGACACTTCGCGGTCACACTTTCGTCGGCGATCTCCTGGCTGCCATGCCCCATCAAGCTGTGCATGACTTTACGACATCTGCCCGAAGAAATCAAACCAATTACGCCCGGTTTGTGGACACCGTGAGCTCGTCGGGCTTCCAGTCGCGTATGCGTGCCAATATGGTGAGTATTTGAGGTACCTCAGACTGTTAACTTATTGCGATAACTGTTAACAGATGAAACGCGATGTGGCACGTCCACTGCGTAATCTTCGCCGCAATGGCTGGGATATGCCGGAGCTGCTGCGCGCCGTAATGTCCATTCTCTCCTGGTGAGAACGAGGACAGCAACTCAATAACTTCCATTTATGACATGGCAATTACTTGTATACCAAATATAGCAAAATGTCTAGTAAAATGATCAGTTGAATTGACGTCTTAAAGTAGCTTCCTTACTTTATGAGGTCGCTGCTGAGGTATACATCAAGGCATCAAGCCTAAAAAGAAGTCGATGGTTCAAACCAAAAACACCTTGATATTTGGTTTGTTACCTTTTTTTTAAATGTATTCCACATTAGTTGAATAGACATCTACCTATCATACATTGCGAATATGCTTAAACTAGTCGTTGCTTAGGCATACATCATGGGTACAAGCGTTAAAAGAAGTCGATGGTTCAAACCAAAGTGATGTTTGGTTTATGAACCTGCTTTTTCAAATGTATCGTCATCAGTTGAATTGACGTCTACCTATCAAATGTTGTGAATATGCTTTAAGTAGCTTTTAAACCTATGAGGTCGTTGCTCAGGTATATATCATGGTTGAAACCAAAGTCTTAACTTGATGTTTGGTTTGTGAACCTGCTAAATGTATCGTGTATTCGTAAAATTGTATGTGTATATGTATGTATTGAATGTATATATATATATACTTCAGGCTGTTCGACATGCGAGCTGTCGATGAAATTTCGTATTGTTGCATTATACATTTTTGCTTATTTACGCACTCGAAATTCCATATAATTATTTTATGAATTTTGTATTTAATTTAAAATCTTGTCTAAGTATGCAATTAGGAAATTATCGCTTTTCAATAAGTATCTATGTGATATATATAATTATGTCTAAATTGGATATAAAGGATGCATTATTTAATGTGGCATCGCTTGGCACAGCTCCCAGTTGGCTCGTGTGGATGTTGGCGCACTGGACTCGCAGAATTTCCATTTAGCGAGCCAAGTGCCAGCTCAGCCACTTGGCGCGCTTGACAAACAAATTAACGCTCGTTACACTTTCATTGCATGCGCTCAATTTACGGCCCAAACGGACGACGGAGGGCAGTTGCTAGTTTCCCCGATGCCAGCTGTCGTTTTGCCAAGCAACGGCAACAACAAGAACAATGGGCACACCGATCCTTAAATACCCTTGCATGTAAAATTATCCAAAAGCTTAGGGCGTCACATATTGCTCCTATAGAAGCCATATTTTTTTTAACATAATTATTATTTATTTTATTTTATCTGCCATATGATATAGTAGTTCGAGTATTAATTCACTTTGGTCAGGATATTATACAAAAATTTCATTTCCAACCGAATATTTCGATGGTAACAACATGATATGTATCTTCGCTCCTATATACGAATATATATGTATAAATTAATATATGTATAATCCTGATCATGAATGTATTCATATACTCCTTCTCCTTCTATGCGTTACATATTTCGTGGAATAATTATATTATTCTTCACCAGGGTACAATAACAACTGTAACAAGTGCAGAGGCTGTTCGGGCTAGTCCTTGGCATATGCCGCCCTCCTTGTGGTGGATGGGGGGCGTGGGCCTCTGTGTAGAAGGCATGCAGTTTTCATGTCGCTGAGCGCCTTCTCATGGCAATTGATTTATGCGCGCGACGTGACTTCATTTTGGGCAGATGGGGCGGGCAATTGGGCGTGGCAGCAGCACCTGTTGTGTGTCGCCGGTGCGCTTATTAAATTAACAAAATAACGATCTGTTTCGCTATCTGCGTGCGCGTCTGCCTGATTTGTCTCGTGTGCGTGCGAGCCAAATTCAATGCCATTATGCATTATAACTGTATAAACAAATCGCACGCCCACGTGCACGTGCGTGCCTAAAAATAAACACAGTCACACACACAGCTGCACACACACACAGCAGCGCACCCACACATAGCAGCAGTACGGGAAGCGTGTAGGCCAAACTCTCCTGTGTCAATCAAGTTAAATGTTAATGAATTACTCGGCATCGGCACAAGGACATGCTGACAGGACAACGCCGCCAAGACTGACAAGTTGTTTTGGTTTCCATGTGCTTAACGCTCTTGCGGTCGGCTTTTTTTTCTTCTTCTTCTAGTGTTTGCTCTGCGGCCACTGCTACTCGAAGGGAGAATGTTTGTCGAGCAAGGTTGGCAGTGGAAGTCCGAGTGGTTGGCCTGTCAGCGCACAAAAGCGCACGAAATAAATCGTAGCATACTTACGTGCGCAAACAATTTTCTCGTCTGCTACACCCTGTAAACATACATTCAATAAAAATGAGAGTATAGTAAACGGATGAAAATTAATAAAGTATATAGTATATATTAATATAGATAGTCAACCAGAAAAATCTACTTAGTTTATTTCTTAATCGGTCTTTAATCGATTTAAATGCTTTGCTTATACCCTGTAGAAGCTTCTGCTCACATTTGTTACATTTATATTTATTCTTCTGTACGCATTCATAATTAAATCGAGAAAAGCAGGAACTAAAACCTGTTGTCCTAATATAAGTTTGTACTCGAACTATGAGCAACCCTGAGAGAGTGGGTGGGATTAAAGTTGTGTTTACCAACTAGATAGTGTCCTTTCGTTTTGATTATATACATATATTAAGATAAGGAACTATATATACGGTAACTCCCCGTCGAACTCAATCGAATACTTGTCGCTTGCTTACGTTCTGTTTGGCTTCGTTTTCACTTACGCTTTCGTTTGATTTTGCACGTTGTTTTGCCGGGCAATACGTGTCATTGAATTCATTATGCTGTCAGCATGTTAGTCGCTTGCTGGGCGCTGTGTACTGCTGGGGGCGTGGCTATGCTACGTGCAGCAGATTAAAAATATGCATTGCGAAATTAATTAATTAACGCTGCTCTTGTTAGCTGCCATTAAATCAGTTGTTTTTGCTGGCATTTTTCGCATTTCTCGCGTTTTATTTATTTATTTATTTTGTATGGCAACAAGCGCACGACAATTGTTACAAATTAATTTTACTGTGCAAATTAAATGCAAAAACATGTTTAATTTATGTTTGTTTAAATAACTTTACGTAACACAAACATACTTTGCAAAATTGATTTAAAATTAATTAGTCCAATTAAGTTTAATGGCAGCTTTAAAAATCCAATTCAATAAATGAGTATTTATTTCAAAATAAAATATTACGCCCTTTTATAAACTAGCTGCAAGGGATCGCAATTGAGGCCAATTAACAATTATTTATTATACTCAGAATTGTTTCCTGCATACATTTAACGAAAAATCAACACAAATTAATAGAGTTGACAAACTTAATAATTCACAAGAATAATGCTGCTAGATTTATATTCCAAACTAATCTAGAGGCCAAACCACGAACAAAGTGCTAAGCCTCGGGAAAACTGGATGGGATTTTACCAAGCTATGGGTGTGTTAAACTTTGATAATAATAATGTTGCCAAATTAAGATGACAAAATGATCTAGAGGTCAGACTATGAAAAAGAGCCAAATCTCATGAAAATCGGATGATATTTGAACGAGTTATGGGGGTGGGAAATTTGGACCTACATATGTCTATATAGGATATTTGAGGGTACAATTTACACATGAATTTTGACCAAAAATAATGTTTCCAGATTTAGATGCCAAATTGATCTAGAGGCCCAACAATAAACAAAAAGCCAAACCTCGTGAAAATCGGATGCTATTTGACCGAGCTATGGGGGTGGGAAATTTTGACTTATGTCTATATAGGATATTTAAGGGTACAATTTACACATGAATTTTGACCAAAAATAACGTTTCCAGATTTAGATGCCAAATTGGTCTAGATGCCAAACCACGAACAAAAAGCTAAACCTTATGAAAATCGGTTGAGATTTGACCGAGTTATGGGAGTGGGAAATTTGGACCTACATATGTCTATATAGGATAATTGGGGGTACCATTTTCGTATGAATTTTGACCAAAAATAATTTTGCCAGATTTAAATGCACAATTGATCTAGAGGCCAAACTATGAACAAAGAGCCCAACCTTATGAAAATCGGTTGAGTTTTGACCAAGTTATGGGGGTGGGAAATTTGGACCTGTCTATATAGGATATTTGAGGGTACCATTTATACATGAATTTGGACCAAAAATATTGTTGCCAGATTTAGATGCACAATTGATAAAGAGGCCAAACCATGCACAAAGACCGGAACTTTGTGAAAGTCGGATAAGATTTGACCGAGTTATGGGAGTGGGATGTCTATATATGTGTCTATATAAGATAATAGCGGGTATACGCCGGCCTTGCCCGTGGCACTTTTAAAATTAGTTCTCTCAAAAATCTTTGAAAATGAGTTTTAACCCGATTTTTCTTTCTTATTTAACAATATATTAGGGTCTGCCTGAGATCAAAACCTATTTGCAGACGTGTGTGTTCAATTCTCTACAAAATTCGATTTAATGTTAGAGGATGCTTTTGTTAGACATGCATCCATTGTCCGACAGATATAATTGTTCAAACCGAACTCGAACTCGAACACATTGCATAGCCGCAACACATTTCGGTGGTGGCCTCCAGTGCCAGCGGTGTGGATAGTTAAATGAATTGCCCAACCCGTGTGGGATTATCAGCGTTCTGGCAGGGAATTCCGTGCATAGCACCCCATTCAGTAGTTCAGTTTATTGCCAATCAAGTTGAACAGGAGCACGCGACTGGCCGTGCACAATGGCCACGTATTTTACCGGAAACATGTTGGCAGTTCCCAAAACAACAATAGAAACAAACAAAAGCAGCTCCACAGGTCATAATTACCTGATGAGTTGATAATTTCACACCGGCGGTCCCATCGCCACGTTCATGTCGTCGCTTCCTTTGACGCAAGCCTGTACGCCAATTCGTATAACTGGGCAGGTCTGTGTGCATATTATGCAGAAGGTTGAATAATACTGGAAAATTTAGTCAGTCTGTTAGTTAGTTAGTCTGAAGTAACTGAGAAGTAAGGGGATCGTGTTTTACTACCATATTTGCTATGTGTGGCTTTTTATTACATGACTTAAACAAAATTAATACACTTTAACATATGCTCAAAAGAAAATGATTTAAAAAATCATGAAAATCGCATAGAAGGGCGATATTTAAGGGAGATATACAGTGATGGAGAGAGAAATGCAGAGAGAGAGAC